TATCCCTTTCCCTTTTTTTTATTACTAACAATATCTGTTCTATCATTTTAATATCTGTTATGTGCTCTATCTGGGGACAATATCCTGTCAAGTGAATGGCGAAAGAGTTATGATAGATCTTTTCCATCTCTAATTTCCTTGATTTCATTTACATGAAACATCTTGGTTTCTGTGTAGTTTATTTGCTACTGCAGAAGTTATGGTCTTGTCACAAACAAAGGTTATAATTAGAAATGGGCAAATCTTAAAAGGTTTGTTTCAAATCAACATGTGAATTCCTAGGCTCTGATTTTTGTTTACATTAAGGTCTCTTTACAATACTCTGGAATTATATTTATACTCACTTAAAGGCTGTTTATGATACCAGATTGGTGTAAAGAGGCATGAAAGTAAATAAGATCCACTTTGTTTCTGCCACATCTATACTCAAATTGGAACCAGCCCTTCCAGATTTCGGTGGTGCTCAAAATGTAAGTACCATCTCTGCAGGATGCTTCCTTCTACTTACCTAAGGGCAAGATTACATTACAATATTAAGACTTAGTGGGGTCAACATACAGCAACTACAGTAACTATTGCAATTTTTCATGTCTGCTCTATACTCCAGCCTAAGTTCTCCCTAAGCTGTGTGGCCACACAGCTTCCCATTAAGCCTCACATAGGGTCTTAGGGTTGCAGTGGGGAGAGATATCTCTTTCCAAGTCCTGAAAATGATTCCCCCTTCTTGAGATAAGGAAAATTATCTGTGACATCAAACTGTGGTTTAAGTGTATTGCTTTTTAACAAAACCATACAGGAGCTTAAGAAAAAGCATGGAACTAAGAAAGAAAGAGAACAATGAGACTGTACTTAAACATAATCTGCACAAGCTATGTCTACACTGCGGAGCTATTTTGGGGTACTTCTGGTATCCCAAAATAGCTATTCCGTGTCTTTTGAGCAAGCCCATTATTTTGAAATATAATGGACTCACTATTCCAACATCCCTGTAAACCTCATTCCACGAGGAGTAAGGGATGTTTCGGAATAGTGCTCAATTTTGAAATTAACTCGAAATAAGCGACACAATTTGTGTAGCTCAAATTGCGTAGCTTATTTCAAGCTACAGGTGCAAGGTAGATGCACCATTATAGAGCTTTAATATAAATAAGGAAAGATACTGTAAGTTTCCCCAAATTCTCTCAACTCTATAATTTACTTCTAAAAGTGTTCCTTTCTGGTATAGTAACTGCAACTGAGATATGGCACTGAATAAAGATCATTATCAGAGTTTTAACCCCACATAATTAAGTCTTAGCAAGAAGCTTGCATAGACTGCAGCTAAAGGTGGTGCTGATACACTGCTAACTCCTGAGCAGAGTGACATTCAAGAATGAAAGAGTAATGTCATCATTGTGGAGGCATAATATATTCTAACACAAGAGCTAGAGCAGGAAACAAACCCCTGGAGAAAGCTCAAATGCTGGTTCAAATTCTTTCCCCCCTTGGCTTATCTGTTGTTGTGCCACTATAGAAATGGTGGCCTTCCATGGATCAGAGCTGTTTTGGAAAGTCTTCCTCACTCAGCTGAGCTGTGGTTTCTCCTGAGATCCTGGCTAAGTCATCACCTGGGTGCAGTTTATTCAGCCGACTGCTGTAGTCCTTATCCTGGACAAGGCTACTGTTCTTAAGGAACTGGAGGCCAGAACCAAATTCAGAAGGTTGTTCTATTTCCTGGACATTGCTGTATGTTACTATAATGCTGGGTATCTGGGCTGCAGATGGCTTACAGTGAGACTCTCCTTTTCGTAGTCCAGTCCCCTTCAGGCTCTCACCTGTCTTAAGGATGCAAAGATTTAAGAGAAATGTAAAACACAGACGTCTCCAGGATGATGATATTACAACCGTCCACTAAAAGGGAAAGTGACAAACATTTTAACAAGCATTCTGACAACCACCACCGCTAAACCAAAGCAAATCTTGTATTAATGGGAAAGAATTTGACCTAGAAACTTTTCTGATGTATCCCATGACTCACTTCTGAAAAATCTCTCTCTCTATATAAAAAAAATCTTTTCCTGCAGAAGGACAGAGTGATGTCATCATGTCACTTTGCATCCCCAGGAGCCCTGACCATGTGACCGCTCCATGACATAGCGGGGATGGTGGCTCCATCCCTGCGTGCTCCCTGGACCAGTGTCTGCCTGCCTCTGGGCCCCGCCCCCAGCCTGCCTGGCCCACATGCCTGCTGTATGGCTTTGCTCTGTGTGGCATGGCCACAGCACTTGAGTGCTATGCAGCAGGTCTCCCCCAAGCTAGCAGCTCCGGCGTGTGCCAGTGACCTGGGCCAGCACACTCTCCCGGGAGCTCTGTCTCTGTCTGCCCCCTGAAACAGTGTCTGCCTGCCTCTAGGCCCCTCCCCCAGCCTGCCTGGCTCACGTGCCTGCCGCACGGCTAGGCTCTGTGCAGCCCGGGCTTAGGTGTGTGACAAGCTGGGCAGGTCTTGTGCCCAGCCACTTCCCCAGATCTCTGGGGTGGCCGCTCTGTGCTCTGGGCTCATCACAAAGCAAAGCTGCCCCAACAGACCCGTGCAGAAAGGCTGGGCTGGGGGCAGGCTGTGGCGCCTGCTGCAGTGGCCAGGGCTGGGCTGCCTGGCACAGTGGTGCTCTTATGGGAGAGGGGCACACAGCTCAGGGAATTTGTGGGAGCGGCAGGGTGTGAGGAAAGGGGATAGGGGGTGTGTGGGGATGGGTGTAAGAGGGATCGTGGGGGGAGAGGGATACAGGAATGGAGGCAGGGGGTGGGGAGGGGTCAGGGAAGGATGAGGGAGTAGGGATAGGCAGTGTGGGGTGGGGAAGGAGAGAGGTTAGGGAGGATGGTGAGTGTGGGAATGGAGGAAGGGGGATCAAATTGAAGTACAGGTTGTGGGGAGGGGGGAGAGATGGGGCTGGCCCAGCCTTGGCCTTGCCTGATGGCTGGGACAGGAAGAGAGATAGGGCTGCCATGCCTCAGCCCGGCGTCCCCAGCAGCCAAGGCTGCCTACTCCCGGAAACAGGGGAGTTTGTGAGCATAGGGAGCAGAGGGTACCACACCCTAGTCTTAGTAAGCAAACTAATTTATCTTAGCACAGAGTGTACTTCAGGCACACTCTCCAGTACTCTAATGAAAGTTCCGGTTAATAATAACACATGCCTCTGTGAACAATAGCAGAGAGAAGCTAATGTGAGGGTCTGGTAAAGCTAGAAATACCCATACATTCAAATCAGATGGCAATTGATTCCGGGTAAAACATTATAAAAGAGTGAACCACAGCGTGGAAACCTTGAAATGTGATGCCAAATAATTAAGTAAATGAAGAGAGGAAAGGTGAATGGAATTAATTCAGCAATAGAAAATACTACTGAAGAACCGAAAAAGAAGTATGTTAGAATGATATCTTCATCAAGACAAAGATAGAATGATAAACCTACTACTAACAATAGCAAGAAGGCCCATGTGTTAGCATTCACAATGCAGTCTAAAGATAACACAGATTACTCTCCAGTGCTGATTTCAGCCAATAATTTTCTCATTTTTTCCCATCTAGTAGGATGTAGGGCAGATGGACTAGAGCAGTGGTTCCTAACCTGTGGTACTGTAGGGTGTCCGTGGAAAGTTTAAAATAGAAATTAAAATAAATGCATGGAGCTTCTCACAGCCAGCACATCCTTTGGCCCATGTTGCTTCCCAGGGCTCAGGCAGCAACGCGGGTTGAAGGACATACTAGCTGCTGGCATGGAGCCTTTCAGCTGAGCTGGTTCCTGAGCTGGTTCCTGAGCAGGCTGAGGGACACAAGCACAGCTATTTTGTTTGCGGAGTCTGTAAAATTTGAATAGATTGAAAAGGGGTCCGTATGCTGGAAAAGGCTGGGAGCCACTGGTCTAGAGTTAATCTACTTGTGGGATGTGTTGAAGAATTATCACTGTGCCACAGCATTGTTATCCTATGAGAATACTTGGTGTGGGTTGCCCTAAAGGTTAGTGCTCCACGTTATAAAAAGATGTAAAAATTAAATGCATAAAACCCCCCAAACCACTTGGATTTCCTTAAGGCTATAGGTAGGGCCCTACCAAATTCACAGTCATGCAAAAGGCATCACAGAGCATGAAATCTGGTGTCCTGTGAAATCTGGCCTTTTGTGTGCTTTTCCCCAGACAGATTTTGTGGGGGAGATCAGTGTTTCTCAAATTGGGGGTCCTGACCCAAAAGTTGCAGGGGGATCACAAGGTTATTTTACACAAGGTCATAGTATTGCCACCCTAACTTCTGTGCTGCCTTCAGAGCTTGAGAGCAGTGGTTGTAATGTTGGCTGGGTGCCCAGCTTTGAAGGCAGCAGGAGCAGTGCAGAAGTAAGGATGGGAATACCATATCCCTATCACTCTTACTTCTGTACTGCTGCTCCCAGGGTGTGTCTAGACTACACCTTGCTGTTGACAGAGAGATGTAGATTAGGCACATTGAAATTGCTAATGAAGCAGGGATTTAAATATCTGTGCCTCATTAGCATAAACATGGCTGCCACTTTTTTCGAAACTGAGCTTTTTCGGAAAAAAAAGGCAGTCTTGATGCGAATCTGTTGAAAATAAAGCCTTTTTGACAGATCCTGTAAGCGATCCGAATCTGTTGAAAATAAAGCCTTTTCGACAGATCCTGTAAGCCTCATTTTTTGAGGAATATAGGATCTGTTGAAAAAGGTTTTAATTTCAACAGATCCACGTCTAGACTGCTGGTTTTTTTTTTTCAAAAAAACTCCTTTTTGAAACGGGGCGGTGGCCATGTTTATGATAATGAGGTGCAAGATATTTAAATCCCTGCTTCATTAGCAATTTCGATGTGCTTCATTTGCATCCCTCTGACAACAGAGGGATGCAGTCTAGACATAGCCCCAGAGCTGGGGAGCCAGAGAATGGCAGCTGCTGACTAATGGTCCAGCTCTGCAGGCTGCAGTGCATAAATAAACATGGCAATACCATACCGGGCCATCCTTACTTCTGAACTGCTGCTGCCAGTATCTCTGCCTTCAGAGCCGGAATCCTGGCCAGCAGCTGCTGCTTTCCAGCTGCCCAGCTCTGAAGAAGTAAGAACTAAGGGTAGTGATAAAACAACCTCTTCCCCTACAACCTCTAGGGATTCCAACAATTACAACACCCTGTAATTTCCAATTTAAATCCAATGAGTGTGAAATGGACCAAAATAGACCATGAATTTGGTAGGGCTCTAGCTTTAGGTTCTAGATGGCACAGCCTAAACGAAGTGCAACAAAAGGTTAATAACTCTCTTTTCTACAGCAATATTTGGTGACTGACTATGAAATACTGACTTGTTTATAGGAAGAAACACCTTATTCCACAGCAAATCCTCAACAAGATGAGCCAGGAAATATTTTTTCTTAATGGCTGTTATTAAAGGAGAAGGAGCAACATGACTACTATGCCCTTATCTTAAATGAACAAAAGTAAATAAATCTCTTGCACACCATTTGCTTTATAAAGTATAATCCATTTTGGATAGGAAAAAAGATAAGCAGGATATATTAACACTACCCTTGCAAAACCTGTCAGAGAATGCTCCAGTTATGATCCCAATGTAGCATTAATTGTTGTAGGATATTTTTTTCATTTTTTTCCTTAAATAATCTAAGAGGCACACAAGGCTATGTTTTCTGTAATATTTTCTATGATGTTTAGGAGTTCAGGATTCTCCTTCTATTTCCCTTTGCACTTTTGCTGACATTTTATGGCTTGGACAGCAGTAAGGGCACAGTCAACTTTTTATTATCATGATTTCCATTTAAAAATTCATCAGGGGAGCTATTTTCTTCCTCATTCATCTTACCTGTTTCAGCATAGAATTAATGCTTAGAAGTATACTTTACTATCAGTTGATAGTCCAACAATAATTTTGTTTAATATCTAATTTAACAAACTGTTTTTACTATTGGTTTAGCTGTTTGGTATTTTAAATTAAGTTATTTAGAGAAGGAACCTCATCCCACTACAATATGTGTTTGTACAGAACTTAGTACAAAGGGGATCTAATTCTGATCAGAGCTTCTAAGCATTACTGAGGAACCCGGTGGGACGTTGAAACTTGCTGAACCCGAACCCATCAAGAATTCAAATTCCACTCTGTGGGGATAAGCCCAAGGAGAGCCCAATAGCTCATCTGAGCTCCATCAAGGTGGATGTAAGCAGAAGCAGGCCAGAAGGGCACCTCAGGACTTATGATCATATCTTGCACAGTTTCCAGTGGGGACAGAGCTTTGTCTGTGCTCAGAGAGTAGAAAAGAATCACTGTTTGCTTTCCTCAATTTAATCCCCAACAAATACTAAAATAATACTTACAACGGGAGAGGAACTGCAATCCCTGACATTCAGCTCTACCATGGAAATGTCATCAGCATCTTCAGATGTCTAAAAGATAAACAAACCCCCAAAACCGATACATGACACACAGGCATGTCACAATATTCTTCACAAAGTGGCATATGAAATACCAGAAGGGGTTGTTGAAGTAGAAAACTGGAGGATTAAAAATATAGTGAATTTTAAAGGGCAGTGTTATTTTATATTTTTCTAGCCACTGTCTCAGTTAATTAGTTACCATATATGAATATGGAGCATAAAAATTGTGTTCACGATAAGCAATTTAAACACTGCAGAACACAAGATGAATAAGCAACAAATGACATTTTAAAAACAGAAATATAAGATGATGAGGCACAAAGAACAAAACATCCTGCCTACTCTGCCTATTGCAAATGCAACAAAGACAACTGGAAAAATGAACTGGTGCTGAAAATAGACGGAGGAGGACCTTTTATAGCCTCAAGGTCATTACTCATCACATTCATATCACATCAAGCTGTAAAGTGTCTCGGCACATAAAATTAACCCTTACTATTATTTCCTCCCTTTATATAGTAACCCCTCATCACTGAAATCAGCAAGTTGATATTCAGTAGAGATACATGCCAAGTACTATATTTAGGAAGGAAAAAAATGGAATGCACAACGACAAACTGAGAAATAATTACTAGGTGGTAGTAGTGCAGAAAAGGATCTAGGCATTATAGTGGATCACAAATTGAAAGTGAATCAACAATGCGATGCAGTGGCCCAAAATGCTAGTATCATGCTGGGCTAGGTGACAGGAGTGCCATATGCAAGACACGTGAGTGTTCTGCTCTACTCAGCAGGAGGCCTCAGCTCCAGCATTGTGTCTAGTTCTGGGTGCCACATTACATGAAAGATGTGGCCAAATTGGAAAGTCCAGAGACAGGAGAGCAATAAAAATGATAAAAGGATTAGAACACTTGCCCTATAAAGAAAGGTTAAAAAATCGTGAGAAAAGAATGAGGGAAGATCTGATAATCTGTTAAGGGCTGTTATAGAGAGGATAGGGATCATTTATTTTCCATGTCCACTAAAGGTAGGGCAAGAAGTTTTGGGCTTAATCTGGGAGATTTAGATTAGAGATTAGGAAAACCTTTCCAGCCATATGGGTAACTAAGACCTGGAACAGGCTTCCAAGGGAAGTCGTGGTATCCCCATCATTGGAGATTTAAGAACAGGTTAGGCTTCAGAACACCTGTGAAGGATGGTCCAGGTGTACTTGGTCCTGCTTCAGTTCAGAGGGCAGGATTTGATCAATTCATTAGATTTGTTAACTCATCAGCTGTTTGAGAGGTTGGATAGTGCACAGTATCTATTACCTTCTCAAAAATCCCAGAATCATGCCTTTTCATTTTGGATTTGGCTTTTGTGTCATTGGTTTCGGCAGCATATTTGCCTATTTCATAGGAAACCAGTTTATTGGCTGGTCTGGAGATCACACAAACGACATCAGCTTCTGTTTCAGTCCAGCCCTGCAATGAATACATGGGAAACAAGCACTTTAGGGTCCCGTTGGGCTCGGTTACTCGGTTAATTTAATAACATTAAATTAAGTTTTACATAGACATGATTCATAAAAGGAAAAGGCTGTAAGAAAGCTATTTCAAAAGAGATAGCTGATTATACTCATTATCATACACCTAAAAAGTTTTAGAATAATGCAAGCAACACTGTAAAAGTAGGAAACTTGGTCTACATATTTTTCTAGGACTAATTGTAAAAACTTTGATCACATATTCCTGTCAGAGTTTTTTTTTTTAAAAAAACCTCCATAGTGCAGGTATGGAGAAATACTGTGCATCCAGCAAGCAGCCCGCTCTAGGAAGAAGGGGGGCATGAGAGACTGGCAGAACTACAATTCCCATGTGCCGTGGCACAGGTGGAAGCAGAGATTAATGTCAATGCAAATGTTTTGACATTTCACAGTTGGAAAATATTTTGGAATTTTTTATTCTGTGAAAAGAGTTGACTTTTTTGGAGAAAACGTCAAAATATCAGAATTTCCTACAAGTCAGAAATTTTTGTTTTCTATCAGCTCTAATTTTTCCTTATATTGGGAGATTGAAAGAGAGAGAGAGAGAAGAGAGTGTTTTAAGAAAACAAAGAAAGTGTGTATAGCAAGCATTCATAAGCAGTAAGTAGCCCTGCAACAAGAACCAAATATTAATAAAGGATAAGCATAGTTAGGACACAGAAGTTACAAACAACTGTGAGAAAATGTTTCAGAAATACCTTGACAAATGTCCTTTTAAATTGGTACAGATTAGAACAAAAAAAGAGTAGACACATAAGTGACCCTTTTATAGGACCATTGTTCAAAATTCCACAAAAACCTTGATCTAACCTGTTATAAAAAAGATACAGACCCATCTGGAAAGGTCAGCCCTGAAGTAAGTCCATTGATGTTAACAGAATTTGCATCCGTTTCTGATGGGCCTGAATTTGCTTCAATGTCTTTCTTTCTAGTTTTGTTCTGTTTTTACCCAAATGTTTGTTCTGTTTTTACCCACATTCTATACTTCAGATACACAGTGTATTTAATGATCACCACCTGCACTGGGTCAGCCAGCTGTAAAATGGGCACCGTTTTGTTTTGCAAAGCCAGTCTCTACTAATGCTGCTGTCTTTGGCCACTTTCTACTGTCTGTTTGGAAAAAAAAGGTACTTTTTCAAATGCAACTAAGTTGTAGATCAGGATGGTCAACAGGGAGGGGCAAACGGGAGAACTGCTCTGGGGCTGGCTATTCAAAAGGTCTGAGAGCTCCTGGCCACTGCTGCTGCTACTATGGCAGTGTCAGTACCTGAAGATCCCGGCCCTTTAAATAGCTGCTGAAACCCCACTGAGGGCTGACTGCTCCCAGCCCTGCCCTTGCACTTTAGGCCACACCCCTTCCAGGAGTGCAGAGCTTCCCCTTGCCCCCGTATTCCCCTGCCCAGGGGTCTGGCAATTCTGTTAACCCCCCAGTTATAGACAGAGAAAGTCACAGCATGTGTGTATGCTAACTTACAGCCAATTATATCTTGAATGATCAACCTTGGTACAAAATATGTTTTTGCTTTGCCTTTTGTGTTGTATATGTTTGGAGAAAGAAAGTGCCTGGTTTCATGGATTTACATGTGATGATCAAACCAATTAATCAAGGGAAAAGTTGTCAAAAACAATATTTAGCCAAATTCTGTCTTACAGTAATACTCTGCTTTCTCCTTGAACTTCAGTATTTAGAGAAAAGAACCATTCATTGTTTTTAAAGTATTTTTAGAGAAAAGTTTGTCTAACAAGCTTCAAATTCCTATTAAATTAAAGATGAGCCAGAATTCTGGATGAAATCAGGGTATGACGTTTTCAGCTTAACAATTTAAAGGACATAGTCTGAGGGAGAGGGGGAAAATCACATTTCTGTTTGAAAATATTGTGTTTACTATAGGTCCAAAGCAGACCTGTGGCTTGAGATGCCTGATAAAAGATAGCTAGGAAGAAAATTCATTAAAAAAATGTATATTCTTTGAGAATTTGACAGCAGTTTGTCAGTTTCACTATTTTTCCTGTGTAGTCAGGCCTCATTCTACATGACTGTAGGGGTGCATATACACAGCAGTGTTATTTCAGAATAGCTCATGTTATTCCAATATATCATAGTCCGTGTCTATACTTACAAGCAGTTATTTCAACATAGTGTCAAAATAATGTCAAGCTGGAGGACTTCTTACTCCAACTCCTGTAACCCTCATTTTATGAGGAGTAAGGGAAGTCAGAGGAAGAGTGCTCTTTCTCGGATTTCCTGCTGTGTAGATAGCGCCAAAAGCCAAAATAAGCTATTTTGACTTAAGCTACACAATTAATGTAGCTTAAGTTGCGTAGCTCATTTCAGCTTTAGTCCTGCTGTGTAGACATGCCCTAAGTGTCTGAGTCTATGGCTAGGCAGTGGTGCTATTTTGGGATACTGGAAGTATCCCAAAATAGCAATTCCACATCTTTAAACATGCCAGTTATTTCAAAATATATTTCAAAATAACAGGCGTGCTATTCTGGCATCCCTGTAACCCTTGTTCCACGAGGGTGAAGGGACTTTTTGGAATAGTGCTTTATTTCAAAATTTGGTGCTGTGTAGACAGTGCCAAATTTCAAAATTAGCTATTTTGAAATTACCTTGAAATAAGCTACTCAATTTGTGTAGCTTATTTTGAGGTAAGGTTGCTGTGTAGATGCACCCTAACTGAGTAAATCTGGTTGCAGAATGAAGGCTTAATTTTTCTCCCATAGGGCAAATCTACACTAGGAAATTATTTTGAAATATCTTATTACTAAATAATAACTTCCAAAATAACTATTTCAAAGTAGTGTGTTTTCACTACAGGGAAGCCTCAAAATTAGTCCGAAGCAGGCTCCCTTAATGTGGACACACTCCCTCAAACCAGAGCCCCAGGAAGCACTGGGGAGTAATTACTTTGAATGGCTCTGGGGAGGAGCTATTTCAAAACAGCAGCAGTGGAGCGTCCACACTACTGCTATTTCAAAATAACTATTTTGAAATATGCATTATTCCTCATGGAAAGCAGAAGCTATTATTTTGAAACTAGCCAATTAACCCATCATAAGACGGGATTTTCAGGTCTCTCCTCCATGTCGGTTTTCTCTCCTGAGCCTCCGGTCTCTCTCTCTCTCTCTCTCTCTCTCTTCTCCTCCTCCTCCTTCATGGGGAGTGCGGAGCCCAAACGGCTGTTTGCACCACTTGCTCCCGCGCAGCAGCCCAGCTGAGTGGCTGCCTATGAGCTCCAGCTGCCCCCCTGCACTGTTTCCCTTCACCCCAGTACTGCAGTCTCCCAGTTGTCCTCCACCTCCCCTTCCCCTCATGCCTGCACCCTGCCCCCAGCGAGGGTCTGTTCACGGCCAGGGGTAGGGCCTCGTGA